ACGTATTTTCTTTCTTTTGGTTTGATGTTTAATTGTACGTTCGAACGATCTGCTAAATAAAACTGATAGGATTATTTATTAACCCCTTAAGGACCAAACTTCTGGAATAAAAGGGAATCATGACATGTCACACATGTCATGTGTCCTTAAGGGGTTAAAGTGTGAATTGTAAAACGAATTCAAGTGAATTTCAAATTTAAGGCATGAGCAGACATTGGTGCTACTACATTTAGGGCAAAAAGAACTAAATTCAATAAATGGAAATATTGTTCTCCAGCCCCGGAAGACCCTCTATGTTGCTGCTGCTTTTTATACACTATCAATAAGACGCTATATATTGTATGGAATTAAGTGGAATATGAATTTTTCTATTTATTTTCATTTTGTCACATAGCGGAAATGAACGCATAGCTGCCTTAGTGATTTTTCCCAGTTAAGCTATTTTTTATCTTAAATTTGTATATCTTTTTGAATGCACTTTAAATTCTAGCTTTAATGCATATCTGTGAAAGATGACTTAATCATGACTTAATACACATCAGTTTAGGAATAAATAACAATTGGTTTTGCAGTAAAGTATATCGGCGCAGTCAGCTTTGTGAACAGGAAAAAAAAAACAGCCAAATATGTTATGATAAAACTAAAATATAGACCCAGTCTGCAGGTGAGACAAATTTAATATAACAAACCAGATGAGGAAAAATATATTAAATAAAAATATTTTTAAAAGTCCACATGAACATTTCAGCTTTAAAAGAGTAAGCATATTTATAGTAATGTTAAAAGAAGACAATGCCATTATGGCACTGTTTATAACAGGTCACCTTTTTTAAAATAATTAGGTAGTCCTCACTTAACTACTCACCTGTTTAACGATGGCTCGGACGTATGATCAGCTCTCTGGTTGATTCGAGGGATTCCCCCCATTAGAGAGCAGGTCTATGTTGGGGGAATGTACCCCGAACATAGATTTGAGGGATTCCATGCTCTGATGCGTTTGTCTATGTTCGGGGAAATTTCCCAGAACATAGACCCATTCCGGTGCTCTTGTTCTGTAGCGCATCCTCACTTACCGACCAAATCGTTTTACGACCGAGCCGTAAGAATGGAACCTGGTCGGTAAGTGAGGAGTGCCTGTATAATTAAGATGTGTAAAACAAAATCACCGAATCTGCAGTGTTTAGAATAGGTTTAGTATGGCTAAATGATTGGGTCAGAGCATCTACAAAATGACACAAAAATGACTCAGTTGTCTAGCCATCACTATTTGGCCCTTGTCAGATCTTTTCGCTTGCCCATTTTTCCTGCTTCCAACACATGAAATTCAACAAGTGACTGTTCACTTGCTGCCAAATACATCCCTCCTTGACAGGTACCATTAGAACAATATAATCAATGTTATTCACTTCACCTGTCAGTGGTTTTAATGATGTCGCTGATCAGTTTATTATGAATATGTTTAGTCATGTACTGCTTGTGCAGTCATAGGATTCAGTTGTACAACTGGGATGAATTCTGAACTTGAGACTTCATTACTAAGCAATTTTTCAGCTATCAGCGTCTATCTCGGGACCCTTTTGTAGTCATTCTGAGCCACAATTTGCTTGCTTAGACTGCCACCAAATCTGAGCTCATATGGTTTAATGTGTAGGCGGATTTTCAAATTATAGAAAATAGTAATTTGAGCAAATACGCTTCAAAACTTTGTGTCTGAATTATTATGATCCTTTTTTTTCCGTTAATACTGAAGTAGACGTTTGGAGCATAGCTAACAGGCTTGTCACTGAAACTAGTAAAACAAAATAGTATAATTCAGAAGCCATTTATCTCTCTTTGTGCATTGTTCCTTATCTAAAAATCACACTGTAAAAACCTTAGGAAATTGTATATTTTCCCTTTTATCAACGCCCTGGCAAGTTTCCATTCAGCAGAAAGAAATCTAAGCAGCAGCATTTGGAAGCACTTTACAAAAACATGATTAACTATTAATTAAGGACTGAATATTAGGTTTGATCTTTGCTCCAAACTGGTTAAAAAATTGCAATAACATGTAAAAATTCTACTTTCACTTGAGGTTTAGTAATAGTATGCTGTGGTGAGATGTTTTGTAAGATTCTGTTATTTTATCTTGAGTTTTGAAAAACAGTTGTGTAGTTAAGGGTGAATGTTAACAAAATCGCACTTTTAACAAAATCAGTGACAGATTAAACTTTAGCACTCTGATATATCCATGCTTTAGAGTAATGTATTAATGGTTTGTGGAAATTAAGTATAATAGAGGGTTAAATTACTCCACTCGATTCTTTGTGATCTGGTCATAGTTTCAAGTGTATCCAGAGAAGCAAAAAAAAAAGCATTATTTATGGCATTAATTTAGAAAACATAGATGTAGTCCTGGAATTTATTTATTTTATTTATTTTTTTTCATTGTGATTGCCGTAGGTTTTAATTCTTAAATTCAAATTGTATTTTCACATGCAATTCCATGCATGACCACATGGGGTGCCTAGATTAAAGGGACACTAAAGGCACCCAGATAACTATTGCTCATTGAAGTGTTCTGGGAGCAATGCCGTATCATTTTAACCCTGCAATTGTAATAATTGCAGTTATTAATAAACAGCAATAATAACATTGCAGTGTTAACTCCACCTCTAGTGACAGCCACTAGAGGTGCTTGTGGAATGTTAGGCGACTAGTCGTCATGCGATTGCGGCGCTTGCTGTACATGTGCATTAGGTCCCTGACATTGCCTAACATTGCCAAAGGAGGAATGTAGGCCGAGCCTGACCCAGCGATGTGGGACATTGGTGCTGGAATCAGGTAAATGACAAAAGGTTTTTTAATCCTTTCAGCGCCACGGGGTTGGGGGGGAGGCATGAGGGAAAGTTTCCCTTTAAGCTGAAGCTAGTGTTTTGGTTCATGTACATTCTCCATTAATTTAAAGCCAATGTTATGTAGGTTGACTTGTGTGGTTATTTAATGGCAGCAACAACACTGGGATATTTAGGCTTTTCTTGATGACTTTTGGTCTTCATGTCATTTTGTTGTTTGTACACTCCAAGGTTATCTGAAGAGTAAGCATTCTACTGTCCTGTATCATAGAGTTGTCATATCCAACACATTTTCTTCTATATACAGCTTGTCTTCATGTTGGTGTATAGTACATGAAAAGTGCTGCCCTACAGTATTTAAAATTCATATGCTGCATGATTTTTAAACTAATGGAGAGCAAAAAATGAGTCGCATTTCGGATCTGGACTGCCCGTATGGGTGGGACCAGTCTGATATGCTTCAGATATGTTCTCTCTGTAATGGCACAAGATGAGCTAAAACCAGCTTGAGTTCTGAGCGGGGACCCACCGAAGGGCAGGCTATTTGAGCTGCTGTCCATTCTCAGAATACTCTTGCGACCCATTTTTTACTGACTGGTAATACAAAATGCTGGTTACATTTAACTGGGATGAATGTCTATTTATATAAAGGTAATTGCCTGCTCTACAAGGAGGGTCTATTATGACATAATTGTGACAGGACAGAGTTAATGTTACTTGTTTTTTTAAGGTTACTTGTGTACTTTTCTACTATTTTTATTGTACAAATGTTAAAATATATACACTCGGTGGCCACTTTATTTTGCTAATTTTGTTCAGTACTAGGCAGGACCTCACTTTGCACCCACAGTCTAGATTCTTGGTGGCATGTATTCAACAAGGTGCTGGAAGCATTCATTAGAGATTCTGGTCAATGCGAACATGGTAACACCATGTAGTTGCTACAGGTTTGTTGGCTGTATATTTATGTCATGAATCTCTCATTCCACCACATTGTTGAACTCTTGGATAGAGATTGGGTGTTTTAGGAGACACTGAACTCCTTATCATGTTCATTAAACCAGCAATAGCTGAAACGTTGTGACATATAGGATGTGATACCACCTGGAGGAACCCTTAGAAGATATGTAGACCGGGATCTTAAAGAGATGCACATAGAGGGGGCGGAGCCTGGACACCAATGGAGCAGGACGTGTAAACCTGAAGCTCCCCCGTCCAAGAGTGACCATCTGCTAACATCAGCAACTTTCCCCAGGCATCCAGCCCTACAAACAGGCTACCCGTTAGTTACACAGCCACCCGATCAAAATGCCCATGGGAGGCACTAAAAAACGAAAAGAACAACCAACCTCAGTGGCCTCAATGTTCCGCGCGGCCAAAGACCTCCCGCGGCCATCTTTAAGCCAGAGCACACCATGTACCCACGACTCGGGCTCGGATTCGGAACCCGAAGCAACAACAAACAGGCAGGCACCCCTTACAAAGGCGGACCTCCGCAGCATGCTGCAAGAGGCCACGGCGGACATCAAGGCCCACACAGCAGCAGAATTAGAACGGCACATCTCGGGCATCAAAGAAGATTTGGAGGCCCTCAACACCCGCACAACGCAGGCTGAAACGGACATCACACAACTCCAAACAGCCTCCTCCCAACACGGACAAGACATATACTACCTAAGCGATAAGATCCAATACCTGGAAGATAATTTGGAAGATCTCAATAACCGCTCCCGCAGAAATAATATCAGGATCAGAGGCCTGCCGGAAACAATAGAGGCCGACGCCATCTTGCCCACACTCTGCGACCTCTTCCGTGTCATACTCCCTGACTCCACAGAACGGGAGCGCGAAATAGACCGGGCCCACAGGGCGCTGCGGCCGCTGGCATTCAACCCCACCTCACCCAGGGACATCATAGTCCGTATGTCACACTTTGCCACAAAGGAAAAGATAATGGCCGCCACCAGGGCCTCACCGCCAAAACTAGGGGCCTATACACTGGCCTTCTTCCAAGACTTGGCGCCATCTACCCTCAAGAAACGGAGGGATCTCAAGCCCCTAACAACAGCTCTCACCAAGAAAGGAATTAAGTATAGATGGGGCCACCCCTTTAAGCTGCAGGTACGAATCGGAGACCAAGACCGCGTCCTGCATCACCCCGCGGAAATGGAGGACTTCGCCGCAGCAATGGGCCTCCAACTCCTCACCAGGCCGACAGCTGACCGGAGCAACATAGCACCGAAAGAAGCCCTCACCGCAGCACAACCACCTAGGGACCCAGCCAAGAAACGGCCCCCTCCACAGGCAGAGGCAGCCACCCCACGATGAACATTACACCTGCTCACACGAGGCCCCCCAGAAGGGAAAAGATGCTGGCCACCTGGACAGGTTCTATATGTTAACCCCTGAACTACTGCATGCCGCAATATGTTATGTTTGACAATTTGTTCTCTCTCTTATATCAGTATTAACTGTATTGTCACAAGTGTATTAATGCAACTGGGGCCACGAACAGAAACAGACAGGCACACAAGACACAGCAGACACATAATTAAACTATAACTAACCATAACACCCATATTAACGCAACCACTTTACAGCCCCTCTCCCCACTTGGGGGGCAGACACAAAGCACCAAGAGATGGCGGCTCCCACCATTAGTATAAGAGTGCCGGGTACGATACTCCCTCTCCCCTCCACACCAAGGAGCCACTAGAGCACCATTTCACGAGCTCTCAGGGACCAATGTGCGGTCAACAACAGCGATAGCCGAGGGGCGAGGGAACGGGACCACAAGCAGGCACCCATGGTGCACAGGGACCCCCTTGCTACCATTAACGGTGGCATACACTGCCACGCTGGCAGTCCCTGACTACTGACCCACGTCCCCGGGGACAACGGCGTATACAAGAACCTCCTATAGCCCAGTACCAACCCCACGGCACTACCTGGGTGACGCAACACGAGCGCCTTAACATGAAACCCAGAGCATCCAGCCTACTTATCAAGTATACTCCCTGGGCACTCAGCTTACCTCATCAGGGTTATTAAGCTTCACCACGCAACTAAACACCCAGATCCGCTTGGGACCACCTCCTTGACAAGACCCACCCCCTAGGTTCCCCAATACATACCTCCTCAAATATCTATAGCCAGCCCCGGGGAGACTAAGCAAGGTCTGAGCTGAAATGTATACCTATAATGTACTGACTACTTATAATGTACTGTTAGCCAGAGCATATGAAGGTTGTTCATTAATATGCCTATCAGCATGCATGATGACCACAGACAGAAAAACACCAAAACCTCAAAACACCAGCACAGACACTAAACATCAGAGCCCTTCGGAACCCATGAAGCCACCACCACAGGGAGGTTCTAGGCTCTAAGGACCAACAAACCAAACTATAACGAACCTCAGGGAGGAGACGGAGTCCCACCCTGAACATGAGGCACACTCAAAAGGAAAACAGTGCACGACAGACACGTAAGAGTCAAGCCACATGACACTCACACTCAATCAACCGCTAGACCCGCAACTCGCACTACATAACAAGGACACTGGCCCTACGCTAACCCCAGCCGCACCAGGCTAACAGGAGTAGAGGTACCCAGCACAATCCGACCTGGCAAGGGAATCAAGGACTAGCACTGATTAATATCATTGGTATCATTACAGGAAAACAATAACTCTGCTACACTGCGAGGCGATTCCACTCGAACCCCCCCCTGACGAATAGGGACAGCCTGACAAACAGATCACATGGAAGGTAAACAACACAACACTCTGAAGTGACGGGCGGCGAAAAGTGATACCCCTCTCGACACTTGTCACTTAACCCACACTACCTCATCACCACTACTTACCAACCAACACACCCCTCAGCTCCCACCGCTCCACACGCGGTGGCACGGAGGGAAAAGGTTAGGACCTGTACCAGGTACAGGTAACCAAACCCCCCCCCATCTCCGCCCCTAATACTCCTGGCAACCTCGGTATCAGACCAGGCACACCCCTCCCAACCTCCACCCACCTAGGCACATTACCCTACCGGGGCACCACGCCCTAGACATCAGGCTTCGCAAACAGCACGCACATAGGACCACCCCTCCCCCCTCAACGCACCCCCTCCCCACAGTACCCCACCCCACAACCAGGCGCACCGCACCAGTCCGACCGTCACACTCCCCGGACACAACCACCTCTGGAGGGTCCCTGCGGTCACAATGACCTCCAAACTCACCTGTATCTCAATCAATTGCAAAGGCCTTAACAACCCAGTAAAAAGACATCAACTCATGAGATGGGCGAACCGTACGGGAGCGGACATACTACTGTTACAAGAAACACATTTCACCCAGACCAAACCCTTCCCCCTTACTAGCCGGCACTACAGAGAGTGCTACACCGCTAACTCCCCCACCACCAAACAGAATGGAGTGGCCATACTACTACGCAAGACTTGCCCTCTAAATGTGAGACAAGTTATAAAAGACCCCCAGGGTCGGTTCCTGACACTCACGGGTCAGGCCGGCCCAAACAAATATGCCATCACAACAATATATGCTCCAAACACTCCGGATGCATCATTTTGGGACACACTACAGGCACACCTGACCCTGACCCCGGGGCACCATAAAATCATAGGTGGCGACTGCAATGCCACTATGTCGACAGCAGTGGACAGGCACAGCACACGCCGAGACAGACAAAACCCAACCCCCACAACCAAATTGGACAAAATGCTACAATCCTTCGCCCTCCAGCTACAACTAATAGACGTATGGCGGACACTACACCCGACCAAACGCGACTTCACATTTTTCTCACACCCACACAACTCTTACTCACGCATCGACCTTTTTTTGATCTCCCCCTCCCTCCTACACACGGTACACACAGCCACCATAGGCAACATATCATGGTCAGACCACGCAGAAATCACGTTAGCAATTAACATTCCAAATGTAGCACGCCCCTGGACCTGGAGACTCAACCCGACCCTGCTCCATAACCCCCCTCTGAGAGACACCATCCAAAAGGACCTCACAGACTACTTCACAATTAACACACCATCAACGCCCTCACCGGGAACACTGTGGGCGGCCCATAAAGCAGTCATTAGGGGAAAACTAATCAGCCTAGCATCAGCACACAAGAAAACCCAACTGGCGGACCTAGCAAACTCCCTTGAAGCACTCAGGACCCTAGAAACCCAACATAAAAAGACTCCCACCCCTGACATCCTCACCAAACTGACAGACTGCCGCAACAAAATTAAAGATTTCATGGCCAGAGACTCAGCCAAAGCACTGCAATGGTCGAAACAAAAGTACTACGAAAAATCTAACAAAGCAGATACCTTACTAGCCAGAAAACTTAAACACAGGGCAGAACAAAAGAAAATAGACAAAATACAAACCCCAGACGGAACCACTCACTCCCTCCCATCGAAAATAGGAGAGGTCTTTCAAACGTATTTCGCAGCGCTATACGACCACAGCCCTGCAACGAGACAACACCCGGACACAACAATAGGGTCCATAAACGCCTACCTACAAAAAATACCACTACCAGCACTAAAACCAGAAGCAATAGCCACATTAAACGAACCTGTCACCATAGAAGAAGTGGCCAAGGCCATCAAAAACACAAAACCTAACAAAAGCCCCGGACCAGATGGCTTCTCGGGCCTTTACTATAAAACCTTCCCTACCACACTCATCCCGCACCTATGTTCTCTCTTTAATTCCGTGCTACAGGGGAACCCACTGCCACCAGACATGCTCCGAGCGAACATATGCCTACTTCCAAAACCGGGCAAACCTCACACGGACCCAAGCCACTACAGACCAATCTCCCTACTGAACGTCGACGTTAAACTACTCACGAAAATACTCGCAGACAGACTAAACCCATACATACACAAACTCATCCATCCCGACCAGGTTGGCTTCATACCCCACAGACAAGCATACGACAACACACGACGGACGTTTGACCTCCTTTGGACCGCTACACACCGACACATCCCCGCCCTCTTCCTCTCCCTAGACGCCGAAAAGGCCTTTGACCGACTCCTCTGGCCTTTCCTATTTGCTACTCTCCACAAATTCCAGGTACCTCAAACGATCCTAAACGCGCTACAAACGTTATATTCCTCACCAGAGGCAAACCTCCTAATCCCCAACACACAACCACCCGCCTTCCGCATCTACAACGGAACCAGGCAGGGATGCCCCCTCTCCCCACTACTGTTCGCCCTCTCGCTGGAACCCCTCCTCCAAGCCCTTCGGCTTGACCCCGCAATCACGGGCATTCAGGTTAGAGGAGAGGAATACAAAGTAGCGGGATACGCTGACGACCTCCTCTTAACCCTCACCGACCCGACACATTCTCTCCCACCGCTACTCCATGCCCTGGACGAATACTCTAAAGTCTCAGGGTACCGCCTCAACTTAGACAAAACAGAGGCCCTGCCAGTCCAGATCCAAGCAAACGAACTGGCCCACCTGCAGGCGAGCTACCCCTTCCACTTTACCCCATCACATATACACTACCTCGGTGTCAACCTTCCGGCTGATGTCACCCAAACCTATCACCTAAACTACACCCCCCTACTACAAAAAGCGGCTGCAGATCTCAAGACATGGGAAGCTTACTCCATTTCCTGGCTGGGGAGAGTGGCCTGCATAAAAATGAATCTCCTACCGAGATTCCTGTACCTATATCAAACACTACCAGTCCAAGTCTCGAACAAAGACTTCAAAAACCTACAAACACAAATAGACCGCTTCATCTGGGCGAACAAACGCGCCAGAATCAGGCGAGATATCCTCTACCTCCCGACAAGGGCGGGGGGACTAGGCTTACCCCATTTCCTACACTACTTCCACGCAGCCCAACTAGCCCAGATTCAGACACTACATGCCCCCATAGGACTTAAGCGGTGGGTAGATCTGGAACATGACCTCTTCGGCAGGGACTTCCCCTCTCTATACATATGGCTACCTCGGCAAGCACGCCCGAAGGTCCCGCAGACCACCCCAGCGCTCACCACCTCCATAGCGATATGGAATAAACTCTCCCTGCAATGCGCACTCACCTCAGACCCATCGCCCCTGACACCCATTCTCAGAAATGAACACTTCATACCGGGAATGACCCCGCGAGACTTTGCCCACTACGAGGACAACAACCTCCACAGGGTGTACCGGTTCTATAAGGACCAACAAATAATCCCTTTTACGGACCTGCCCCAAACAGTACCATTTACCACACGCGACTACTTCAGATACATCCAGATAAAAAACTTCCTCGAGACAAC